ATTGGTGAGACTTTTCCTCAAACATCTACTTCTATCCTAAATATCTTATATGTTTACTACTATTTCTTCAGGGGAGCCAACGTTTATGCTCAGTCGACCTGAGTTAGAAGAATAAAAGAGAGAATTATAAGGACTAGGATTGAAGTCACTTGTTTAATTAATTTTTACCTGATTCGTATGGTTATTATAAACTGAATAATCATCTAAGTTACAGTAAAGTCAGCTAAACAGGCAAACTTGCCAGGATATGGTAGTCTATATTGACAGAATCTTAATAATTTGTAGTAAGTAGAGCACTGTCAGGTGAAGTTATATATTTCTTGGTCTGTTAGTAGCAAGAAAAATGTTTAGTTGTCTGAAAAATCAGAGAGTATAAACACCAAACTGACTGAATTTTACTTAGATTTTGATAATTATGTATAGCTGATCTTATGTGATAGGTGACATATTACATTAATAACAATCTTACTGATAGTTTTGCCCTGATAAGTCTTAAATCTTTCAATTTGTATGTGAAGGTTAGTAAACGTACATTGTTGGAACAATACTATTGTTTAACCTATTATGCACGTCAACTGGACCTTGTGTAGATATAGTAGACGATATAAATTTTTAAATAAATAAACTTCTGTATAAAATATTGTATCCGATTATTCAGCGAAACTGTACATTTTCAATTAATGCAGGTGCGATGATTGAAGGTTTTCTATAGAATGGAATTAGTATCCTGATTTTCTTAGTATCATTAAATTATATATAAAATTGCCAACTTCTTTAAGCGATTTTAATTTACATCACCGATTTTAAACCATTCGGTATGCTCAGTCTGCGAGATAATAACTGAGTCTTCTACATGGTAAGAAAGGATAATTCATAAGTAAAAACTTGTCACACACACTTATCTGATGTGAATAGAGAAACAAGAAGCCTTGGGGACGTTATTTCATTTAATTCAAAGCTTGTATAACAGTAACATTTAATTTTGCCCCTAGTCTATTCTACAGATCATAAGCTTTTGTTTGATGTATGATTCACTGCCATAGCCTTTTCTGTTCCAAAGCTATTGTAGTTTAGACATAATCTTTTGTACTCTATTTTCTACTCTAATCCCCCAGTTTTGGACATGATAGTATTTTCCTAATTATTGTACGTTGTGGTCAGGTTAGTCATCTATTTATTCATGTATCTTTTTACACTAATCTGAAATCGGATACCAGATCGGGATCGGGAACAAATCACGTAGTGATCCAATCATCTTGTCTTTTCACTCGCGCGTGCCTGTCAGCCAATCAGGCGATAGAATAGTTTTCTTTTCTCTACCCCACTTCGAACTCACGCATACTAGCCTTAAGGTTAAGTCAGTCAGCCTATAGCGTCAAGGTCTTAATTCTCGGCACGAAGGTGTGTAGACAGATCAAGGACTTAACATTATTACGGTACAACTAGTTTAAGTTTTGGTTTTCTGGAAATCATGTTGTTATTACTTTAAGATGTTTTAATTTTAAAAAAATTTAGACACTAACGTCAAAAGACTGAATTCATGAAGTCAGATATGTTGCTCAAAACAAAGAGAATCAATAATTGGACATAAAATACTAGTAATATCGTTTTTATTAGGAAATTTATTACTGTCATTTGTATGTATATATAATGTTCGATATACTTTTAAAAATTATACAACTTTGAATAAAAATATAGTAATTGTTACATCCCAAAGAGAATTATGAATGGTAACTTTGAGAACTATTTATGGACCAATATGTTACGTATATTTCCTATTGTATAATTGTTAAGTAACTAAACTATTCGTATTCGTGTTCCTCTTATCATAAGCTTTATTTTGACCTATGAACTATTATTATATGATTTACCATTCTTGAGTTATCCCCAGTCTATTAATTACAACCTCCCACATTCACAGCCACATTTGTCCAAATCTTGTACAAATGTTATTTTCTATTTTATGGTATGATGTGGTCAGTTTGTTTGGTGTATAAACCCAGAATATTTGAGAATAATGATTCATATTGCAGAGGCTGTTATTGGTGTTCTGGACTTCACTGGCTGGGCTAGACAGATAGCAGGACAGATAAATACTCTAGACTGCTCATACGGTTTTCATGTACCATTGCTCTGATCGATAATTCACTCCTCTCTGATTGGCGGTGATCATCACGTCATATATTAACAGGGCAGTCGGCCACATGATATAACGGTAATCTCATCTAATTTTTGGTCGGATATATACTCAATATCGGAGAAAAACATTATTAAATATGACAAAAAGTAGATTGATATATTCTGATTGATGTATCTATCAATTTTCTTAACACATTTAGCATTTTTTTATATATAGTTGAAGTCATGAGTCAGTTGAAGCTAGACCACCATGGAAAACCTGGAAGGACTGGACGGCCATTTCGCCCTATTGTGGGACTCCTCAGCGCACCCACGATCCACCAGGATTGGTAGGTCCTGGGTTCGAATCTCGTGAGGCAGGATCGTGGATGAGCACTGATGAGGAGTCCCACAATAGGACAAAATGGCCGTCCAGTGCTTCCAGGTTTTCCATGGTGATCTAGCTTCAATTGACTCAAGATTTCAACTATATATAAAAAATTACTAAAAATCTCCACAAACAACCCACATTCAGTATTAGTAAGTTAATGTTTTTCCTCACTTTCTGTATTCCTGCTATAATCTATTGAAATATTAGAATAGATTTTCTTTCATGTAAATTTATGTATTTATTCACTGTTAAATAATAGTACTTATTATTATTATTATTATTATTATCCACTCGGTATGCTTTGTTTGTATCTTCTCATTGTTATGTTAGGACTTCAATTGATCGACCTCTTGTTGGCATATTTACATTCTGTGAGGACTGCTTCGATATTGTTTTAAGTCATATAAGCTTTATAAACAAAGATATTGAGTTAATCATGGTATAGTTCATGTAAACTATTCATTATTGTATTTACAATATAGATAACTTATTTCATGATTAACTTTTTAATTCATATAATTTATACTACTTATATTAACTTCCTTACTGATTATGTACAATTTAAACATTCTCACTGAATCTTGAAATCAAATAATGTGTTTTGAGTGAACACTCGTCTTTCATTAATTTCTTATTGTTTAGTGTATATCAAATGGTAAGATCTATAATTATAATTAATAATGTTATAATAGAATAATGAAGAAGGTACTCGTGGAAGTTTGTTCAGCATGAAGATAGTTTTTATTGCAAACTGTTATAATTTCATCTCTGCCAAGTAATTCAATACAATAGTAAGGCAAGGCGTAACGTAGTTAATTAGTCCAATGGTGAACTCAATAGGTTAACTCAACAAAACCACTCTTCAGTGCTATGCCCTCAAAAATCTTAATCTAGACTGTTAACTAGAAGAAAGAAGATAAACTGATGACTCTGCCCAGAGTCTTTCTGGGGTTACTGACGATCCTTTGGGCTGATAAAGGAGGAAGGTTTGGGATAGGGTTAGCAACCCCATTTTATAGAAAAGAATTTTGCTCAAAAATACACCAACCAACGAAGAATATATGTTAGCAAAGATTACCACTGTTCTATACACGGATCCACTTTGTACTGACTGTTGCTTACATTTAAATGATTAGGATTTGAATAAACGTTGAGACTTGAATCCATCATTGACTTCAAACAAATATCATGCTTTATTTTAAAAAGCCTGAAATCAAGAACACTCAAATACTGGTTCCTAATTGGATAGCATGGTTGGTCGTTGGTAAACATCTTTTTAAAGTTCCAGGCTTGAACGGAGCAGCCTTCTTATGCTTATTTTGATTTTTAAACAGTTCTTTGATTGAAGTCAGTTCGTAAATGGCTAACAATTAACTATTTGTCGGATAAAGTTGCTGTAGAGGCACTCGTATATATTTAAAGAATCGAAATAAAGATTAGATTATTTTTTTTATTTTCACTTAGACAAAAACGGACATCACATAAAAATTTGGTAACATACGAGCAAGCAATGTTTTCGAAAAATAAACTTTATTACAAGTTTAAATTTCAATAATTCGTACTTATCTAAAAGTCATTCCATTCAGTTTCGTAATATCGTTAGAAACATACACGTTGGTAGATACAGACTAACTGGATAAGGTATATCCGATTATCGTAGCCGATAGGGAGAGAATTTGGGTGACATAATCTAGTAATCGATCACAACAAAGTAGATATATTCGTTTTTAGTCTACCCTTGGATTTTGGGTTTCGAAATTATCTGATTTTTTTCTTCATGAGTTATACTGTCTGTATCTAATCTCATATTATTATAAATACTGTTACTACCTCTGTGGTGTGTGCTACTGATGTCTACAGATATAAGTAGTGTGTATCATCAATCGAAAATGAAATACATGGCGGCAGAAGGTTAAGAAGATCGAAAAGAAGAGAACGAAAACAGAGAGTGATGGGTGTGGAAAAGAATAATCAACCAAGTCCGAGACAATTGATTGACATTTTGCAAATGAAGTATTTACTGTATGGTTCTCAGATTTTAGTAAGATGTTCTGTAATCTTGTATTCAAGTACATTCGATTGTCCCCACTTATTTTCCCGTTCACTACACTTTTCACTATAATGGGGTTTATGTAGATCAGTGTACCTGGTTGCACTGGTGTGGTGTAGCAATTTGTATTAATGCACATATGTGCTAGGTTTTGGGTTGTTTGTGACCGCTTGACTTTATTTTTTAGCGTTATATTGTCAATAATAAATATTGATGGCTTTCTAACTTTTTGGGTAAAGTGAAACAATTGTAATAATTAGTTACATTATTTACTACTTACTTACGCCTATTACCCTTCGTGGAGAGCATAGGCCGCCCACCAGCATTCTCCATTGAACAATCGGTTACATGCATATTGAAAATTATACCGTCATGGGGAAATGATCCAACTTTCCACAAAAGTAAAATTTTATAGGTAGTTTAAAATGTACATATTTTTAGATGTTTGTTGGGTGAGTATATTTGGAATTGAGACTAAGCAGTTGAGTAGTAGTCATAGATAAATCACTGTGGAATAAGATATCGGTCAAATATTAAGCCCACGTACTTGGTTAGGATACGGCTTTTTTGAGGAACGAGATATACCTCATGGGTGGCAAAATGTGACTTAAAATTCTGAGGAAAAAACATATGTAAATCTGAATAAGTGTACAGTTATTTCTCGATTTAGTTAGATATTCAAAGCTTCATTCTCGCTCTTAGTCTTCCCACTTGAGTAAATGGTCGGGTTCGTGTTTAGGAAGCTTGTGTATTAGTATCATGTTCATTGAATTCCCACGAGCATTTCCAAATATCAGGAATTTTAACTCATTGTTAACTATGTACAAGTAGGCAAGTATAACGTTAAGTATTGCGCTGTACTATGGTTCTTAAGTGTTGGTAGGTTTATGTCTCGCCTTGACGTACATTATTTTTAGGCATGTATAAAGAAATGTATACTGAGGAGAGTTTAGAAGAGGGAAAAAGTGTAACCTGAATAAAATGATCATTTATACTTTTTATGTAGCTGTTACTTCATGTGAAATGAACACACGTTCCAGCCAATGTATAGATCTTCATATCGAACATTTGTCTACCTAATTCAGCTTGGGAACCCAAGTAGTATTGTTAGTCCTCAAACAGGTAATGTTACTGAGACCCAAGTATTTATCGACGACGTTTGAGAGACACTAAAGTGACCTTGAGAATGTCCACCTACTTACTGGGGCTACATGAGGGTTATAAAGCAGTGTGTATAATAAGGATTATAATTTACAGTTGATGGTAAGGGTTAGGATTTAGATTTATAGTTTTCAACATGAACTGACATCAGCTAATATGCCACACGCTATTTAGACGAAATGAGTGGATGAACTTTGCGCCAAAATCCGTTATGCTAAATCTGATTGGTTCATCCATAAATTGTAATCTCGCCCCTTAACCCTAAACCATGCATCCTAACCCTAACCACGAACGATGTGATGACTTAGAAAAGGAATATGCATCTTCCTAAGAGTTCGAGAAGAAGGATAATTTATATATGACGAGTTTATTTGTCGTTGTTCCGACAACTATAGAAGACCCTAATAAGTTCATTAAATATTTGAAGTTCAACTACACTTATCAATATTTTTTTCCATAAACTACTCATTTACAAAAGCTGTTTTCTGATTAGCTAAGAACTGACTGAAAATTCGTCATGGTTGTCACGATCTCGTCCCTATACTATACTCTTACCAAATATGCCATTATACTTAGTATTTATCACTAATATATATGCATTGGTAGCTCACTATTTGTAGAAGATACTCATCTTTTCGCTTTAAATGTAGTTTACGTGTGATATTTAAATGAGTATAGGTGCTGAAGACATTTCATGATTAGCTGAGATCTATGTGCAGGAATTTGGTTAGGAAATGTTAGACTTTATAGTATTCGACTTCTCTGCTGTTTGTTTCATGAAGGCTGCATTTTAGTTGTATTTAAATACAGCATAGAAACTAGTTTAGGTAATTTGTATTCTAAAAATTTATTTTCAGGTCATATCGTTTGTTCGATTAAAGATTTGAAGCCATTTAATCGTCAATCAATTGAAAATATTGAACAAACTAGTACTTTTGGATAATAAACTGAAACTTGAAATTGTAATTTTACAATGAATGAATGACTTGTCCGAATTATCTGACAAAATATTTAAAGGTCTGTACTTAAATCCAGATACAATAATATAAATATGATTGGTCAATCTTGAAGGATTTGAACGTTTTGCACGTGATAGGCTATGTGATTGGAGAACTAGTAAATATGGTCTGTACATTAATAAGCTTCTATATGACGAAATCAATAATTTATACAAGAGTCACTATCGCGAACATATTAGTCAGTGTAAAAATATCTATCATAGAGACACTGTTTTGAAAAAAACATCGTTCTAGTCACAACTTTGGTTGTAACGATAAAATCGCCGTAACGTGAGTAAATATTTGGTTGTCTTTGTTATTTCCAGTTTTTACGTGTACTTAGTGGTTACTCAATATTCGTAGAATTTGTTTGTCACGGACTTATTTCAGTAAGGGTAGCATTAAAAACTAGGGAACACTAGATAGGTATTCGTTGTACTGTAATATTTCTCACCACTACCTACCCATAACCCTGCTCGCCGCAAAGCTTGAAAGTTTTTCGTTTTATCCCTAGCAGGGTAACTATTGAGCACTACTGAAGAATTCCATACTTGAATGAAACAGTTGTTTAATACTTTCTGATTTTCAGTGGTACATCAAGTTAGATAAATCTGTGACGAATATACTCTAAAGATGAAAATAATCTCCACGAAACTAGTTCATCAAAACTTGCTATTTAATTTGTTTAGACTCTTTTCATTTCGTAGTAGAGCTAGATATTTGAAAACGCCAAATTTTTCATTGACAGTTGAAAGTTCGAGAGAATTTTTAGTCTAATCTTCATGTATCGTGTAAATAGGTTCACATTCACTACTAAAAGACAACAATTCTAGTTACGGGATGCTATGGGAATCGATGACCTTTCGGATAACAGTTATCATTAAGTGTTTTATGTTTGTTTTGTTGATTTAAGCATTTTTTGTATGCTTTGTTAGAGGTTAATTGATTATTCTTAAAATCATCTCTGTTTTTGTGTAATCATTGAGAATGTTCAACTGATCCCAAAATAAAAGTCTACAATTACGATCTTTTGTCTTCATTCTTATGTAAATATGACGAGTTGAACCGATGCACGTATGCACCAGGTTCTATGTCTCATATATATGTGATATCTGTTATGATTTGACCAACAATTTATCGATGAATGATGACTAATAGTAGAATAAAGGACTAGCACTTCGTCTTGTCTGGGACTCGTCATCTGGATGCCCCTGGATCCTAGAATTTATGTTTACTCCTAGACTCGAACCCGATACCGTTTGCTCCAAACGCCGTAGCGTTATCTGCTTAGCTATTGAGTCCAAATTGTCGTTGTGTTGTGGAACGGGGTGGATTCTAATTCATATCCATTAGTAATTTAAAGCTCTCGACTGATGTTTGAGACTGCAGTTAGTCAGTTGATGTGTCACTGCTTAAAAATGTTTGTGACTTAATGGTAATATCGAGGCAGTGCTCACAGAATGCATATACGCTGATAAGACATTAATCTATTACAGTCCTATACATCATTGGGCACCCGGGCAGTATCACAGCCCACACACAAACAAATGAATGAAATTATGAACTCTATTGACGATATCCCTGGTCATACTAAAAGCAAGACAATTAACATTATTATTATTATTACCTTTATTATTATTATTATTATTATTATTATTATTATTATTATTATTATTATTATTACTTACCATATCGCTAATTCACCCCCTTTTATCCCCAATTTGTGTAACCTTACTCTTCAACTTATGCAGCAGCTCGCTCTTGGTGGAAAATCTGTCCTATCTAAACGATCTCCAGTCACTGTCTGGTTGAAAGTGAATGCTTCCACCGATAATGAATACTGAGGCAGTCTTTCTGAAACCACGTACGCCGTTCAAGCTGGCTTCCTTCAACGTTCGCACACTAATGCAGATCAGACAACAGATAGGGCTGGCTATGTCTTTGGAAGGTCTTAATGTTGACGTTTGTTGTCTATCCGAGACCCGTATTCAAGACTCTAGTGAAGTACTGAAAATCCGCTCTCCATCTGTCGCCTCGAAAAGCTTGTTCCACGTGCGCTTATCTGGGGACCCTGTGGCATCTCCGTCTGGTCTTGCTGGCGTTGGTGTCGCACTAAGCGCTAGAGCCGAGGCAGCACTAATCGATTGGATCCCCATTAACAGTCGGTTATGTGCTGTTAGATTAGAAAGTTCCATCAAAGTGAGAAGAAATCGGCGAGAGAAACGGTGTCTTTTCGTCATCTCCGCCTATGCCCCGACAGATTGCAGCCAGGATGCAATCAAGGATGAGTTTTACCATCAGTTAACAGTTCTTCTCCAGAAAGCGCGTTCGACAGATATTGTAGTACTAGCCGGAGACTTGAATGCACAGGTCGGGCGTCTATGCACAGAAGAGAGTCGTCTAGGTGGCCGATGGGGACTTGTTGGTCGCCGGACAGATAACGGGGACCGTTTGCTGCAACTGTGCACAGACCACAACCTGTTTCTGGCCAGCACTAACTTCCGGCACAGTCATCGCCGGTGTGCCACCTGGCGTCCTCCCTCTGCATCCCAAGCCTGGACTCAGATTGATCACATCGCGATCAGCTACCGCTGGCGTGGTTGTGTACAAGACTGCCGCTCCTTTTGGAGTACCTATCTGGAGTCTGATCATGCCCTGGTCTGCGCCAATCTCACCTTACTTTTCAGTGGCCGAAGGATTGACCACCACCAACGGATTGATATTAGTAAACTGGCTGCAACTTCTGTTGCAAGTAAGTATCGAGCTGAGCTAGCCTCTAGGCTAGCTACCACCCCACCGAAAAGTATAGACGAGCATTGGTTGCATCTTCACGACGCCATGAAAATGGCGAGTAAAGCCGCTTGCGGCTTCGCGAAACGTCCCGCTTACAAGCACTGGGTTTCTTCTGGCTCCTTACAACTGATGGAAGCCCGTCGGTCTACTCCGGGTGACCGTGAGTTTGACCACAAACGAAGGCTGTTACGTAATGAAATCGGGCAAAGCTTGCATAAGGACCGGGAAGCCTGGTGGTCGGAGCGTGCTAATGAGATGGAAGCAGCAGCTGCATCTGGTAACTGCCGGAAGCTCTTCCAACTCATCCGAGCCACTGGCAGCAAGAAGTCTGGTGTGAGTGAAACAATCTACGAGGATGACGGGATGCCAATCACTAACATCTGTCGACGTCTTGGACGATGGGCGGAATTTTTCGAAGGGCAGTTCAACTGGCCTGCTGCTCCGGCAACATCAACCAGCTTGTCCTGCCCCCCATGGCCGGTGACGACTGTTCCACCAAACGAGGCGGAAGTCCGCAAGGAACTCCAACTCTTGAAACGTTATAAATCACCTGGCCCAGATGACTTACCTCCGGCTCTTTTTAAAGATGGTGGTGACTTTCTGGCTAAGGAACTGACTGCGTTGTTTGGAAAGGTTTGGGAGCAAGAAAGTGTTCCAACATCTTGGAATGAGTCAATAGTCGTCCCTATCTTTAAAAAGGGTTCACGTTGTTCCTGCAATAACTACCGGGGGATAAGTCTACTTTCGATCGCGTCCAAACTATTGGCTTCTATCATTCTTCGTAGGTTGTTTAAAACCCGAGAACGTTTGACTCGCGAGGAGCAGGCTGGTTTTCGTTCTGGTCGAGGATGCATTGATCACATCTTCACCTTCGATTCGTTGGACAGGACTGTTCTCTGGGATTGTCTATTGAAGAAGGGTGTGCCTGAGAAGTTCATTAACATCTTAAAAGCCCTGTATACGAACACCTCAGGCAGAGTGAGGGCATACAACCACCTTTCTCCCTTGTTCCATTCGAGCAGTGGGGTTAGGCAGGGTTGCCCGATCTCACCATTCCTCTTCAACTTTGCCATCTACGACATCCTGGAGACAGCTCTGATGGATGTAAGTAATGGCGGTGTGGATATGTTGCCTGGAGAACGACTTCTCGACCTTGAGTATGCGGATGATATTGTCTTACTGTGCGATAATGCCCAAGGCATGCAATCAGCACTTAATCAGTTGGCAATCAGTGTCCGCAGGTACGGCATGTGCTTTGCACCCTCCAAGTGCAAAGTACTTCTACAAGACTGGCAGGATTCTAATCCTGTACTCACCCTGGATGGTGAGCAGATCGAAGTAGTTGAGAAGTTCGTGTATCTAGGTAGCTATATAAGTGCTGGTGGTGGCGTGAGTGATGAGATTGATGCACGTATAATGAAAGCCAGAGCGGCTTATGCCAATCTGGGCCATCTTTGGCGCCTTCGTGATGTTAGTCTGGCTGTAAGAGGTCGGATCTACAACGCGTCGGTGAGAGCAGTTTTGTTCTATGCTTGTGAAACCTGGCCTCTCCGAGTTGAGGATGTTAGACGACCCTCTGTGTTCGATCATCGTTGTCTCCGAAGGATTGCTGACATCCAGTGGCAACACCATGTTAGTAATGCAGAGGTTCGGCATCGTATGTTCGGGCGCAGAGACGATAATTCAATTGGTGTCACCATCTTGAAACACCGACTTCGGTGGCTTGGACATGTTTTACGAATGTCGTCCCAGAGACTTCCGCGTCGTGCATTATTTGCCGACCCTGGGACTGGTTGGAGGAAGCGGAGAGGAGGTCAGTGTATGACATGGTGTCGTGGCATGAAAGAGAGCTGCAAAGGGCTAGCTTCTGTTGGTCCTTCACGACTCCCTGGTTGGGGTCCGAGAGATAGTGCAACACAGTGGCTAGAGACGTTATCGGATATGGCTCAGAATAGAAGCCAGTGGCGATCCTGCTGCAACCTTCTTTTACTTTCTACATAAAGAATGGTTCTAACTTTCCTAACTGAAAGAATCTTCTGGTTGTACATTTCAGCCCGCCTTATCTTTTCATCCTTTATCTACCTACTTTCATTATTTTGTGTGGCGCATATGTACCTGGTGCCCTTTTGTACCAATATATATGTGTTTAAATAAATAATAATAATAATAAATAACATCATTGGGAAGAATCAACACAACAGATATATATGAATTAACAATATCTTGGTTTTTATATATAGTTGAAATCATGAGTCATTTGAAGCTAGACCACGATGGAAAACCAGGAAGCACTGGACGTCCGTTTCGTCCTATTGTGGGACTCTGAGCAGTGCGCATCCACGATCCCGCCTCGCTTCAATTGATTGCTTTCTTCGTGAAAAGTAGCAAAAATTAGTCAAGTTAATAATTTCATTTAGCGGATTGTTAGTACTGGGTGTTTCTGGAAAAGTTCAGAAAAATATTAGCCACTTTTAGATTTACCCTGTATTTATTATTCCATCTCGATGTAGATTATTTGTCCCACGGATTCGAAATAGAAAGAAATGATCATTGTGGTTAAATCTTGTTTTGATTAGTTAGTGAATGATCTAGAAAACTCAAATTCACAATTATGTAGATTTAAGATGAATTTAAACGATTTTTTTCGTTTTAATGTCATGCGTAATGTATCGAGGTGGGGGACATTTCGGTACACAAAACGATTTAGTTTGTTGAATAGTTGTTTCGTCATTTGACATTCAATCATTAAGGGTCTTTAAGTTAATTACTGAGTTTTCATAAATATTTATCACCTAGTCATCCTATTCATTTTAATTTATAGCAATCGATCCCAATATACATGGTGTTTTCTTCATTGTAACATAGGTATCACTTTACATGATCGATTTAATCAGCATATTGACAGTTGGGGATTAATTGGTTTTATGTAGAAGATAATTGTATGACTTTTGAAGATGAGTAGACCATTTCACAATTGGCTTCTTGAAATCTACAGGATTGTAAAATGAAAGTTTTAAATGTGTAGTTTATCTAGTAATCAGTCTTCCGTGGTCTATTTATGATGCCCTAAAACTGAACATTTCTGATTATATTCAATGATTCACTATCATAAAGAACTTAATTATAAGATATAAAATGTTTTATAACTAAAGTTTTAATTAATGCGACAGCAAAGAATTTTTGATGACTGCAAAACTCATTTGAAAACAGAATGTTTCTTTGTTTTCTGTATATGTTTAACACCAAGTTACATTATTCTTTCTCAATTAACAAGTTACTCATTTAATATGAGTGGTAAGCTTGTAAATGGCTTCAATCACCTAAAGATTTGTGAAAATTTGCCAAAGCTTCAGTGAATTAACGTAGAAACTAAAGATTGATTGATATTTGGTCGGCGTCCCAATGTAAAACATAATGTTTTATACAGTTGGAATCATGAGTCAATTGAAGCCAGACCACCATGGAAAACCTGGAATCACTGGACGGCCGTTTCGTCCCCTTGTGGGACTCCTCAGCAGTGCGCGTTCACGATCCCGCCTCACGAGATTCGAACCCAGGACCTACCAGTCTCGCGCTCGTGCACTTAACCACTAGACCACTGGGCAAGCATCCAACGGTGTTAACGTCTAACCTCAGCATAATGGTTGTATGAATCCGTACTTTAGTTCTTGTTAGGGTTAAAATGAAATAGAGTGTGGACTAACGGAAACAAAACACCAATGTATGACACTTGACGTTAAATATTAACAGGCAGTCTTTGAGATCCATTGTTTAATGATCGTGGGTTTCTGTCAATAGGGGATACCTGAAGCTTTAAAGTTCACTCTAGGTTTGGTATTTGTATCAACCTTTCCAAAACTAGTCATTTAAGTAACCAATAAATAAAGTTTTTTCAAAGTTTTACATATATCTTTTTGAAATTCACCATATGTGGTATGGATTATGTTAGCTGCTTTTTAAATGAACTTTGTAAATCTACTGCTTGGATACATATTACTGAATTTCTAGTCACTCCCTATAACCCAAAACTACTTAAACATTTCAACTCAAACACTAAAAAGGGCGCGAAATATGAATAAAAGCCTTACAACAAAGTCAGTTCATGTACAGAAAATCAAGTTTATTTTTGGGTTTTCCGACGACTTTGATCTTCTAGAGACTCTTAAAAATATACTAAATCTGACGGCAACACAAGTAGTTGTTGCATAAATCTTCATTTCTTTAAATGTTTATGGGAAGCTTCTATTTAGTTCTGATTGAGTAAAATGTTCCCAACTTTTATCTGGACATTTATAAACTTCTTCAAGTGGAATTCATAGAATCTCAACATATATTAGATTTTATTTTAGATTTAAAAGGTTATACTTTGTATTATTTTGACTATATAACTTTATTTTTTATGTATATAGAATATTTCTATTGATGGCTAAATTTGGTAAAAGTGTACAAATCCCACTATCATGGATTCCACAAAGTAATGGAAACTATCCAGAAAATGCTATTTCTGTTGGTGATGGTGTTTTTGTTGTTCGATCTAGGTTTATAAACGAAATACTTCCTGGAAAGCTTGTACCTAAACAAGGAAAATGTTATTGCTCTCACGGAGGTGACGAAATAGAGTTAACAGAATATGAAGTTCTATGTGATACTTCATTGAGTGAACTTGGGAAAGGGTAAGTGTTCACATTTTAATGTAAATAATTCTTATGGTGGGTATGTAAAACTAGTATGCGTATATAAAATTTATATAATTTTTACTATACCACTACAAACACGAAATTTCATGGAAAGATTTCTTTTCTATCGATTTTTTATGAATCTGGATGAAAAACTTAGTAGGTTCAATTCATTGTGAAATTTAGAACAGTCTTCTATCCTGAAGGCATACTGACACAAATTAGAACATGAAGTCATATCTTATAGATTATAATCACACTTAGTCGGTCGATCTCCAAAGGACATGCTAAGATAAAAAAGGGATATATATATATATGCGTTTGAACGGTCCCGAGAATGAAATAATTGAAAAGAAAATTCTTTTATTGAACCAAAGTTTTGTATTTACTACACTTCAGTCGACTTACCCACAGCCGGTAGGAGATTCAAGGGGAATAAGGTTACAGTATTAAAAGCAAGGGTTTATAATGAATTTACGGAAGAAGCTGCTAGTGCGTTCTCGAACCATCCATTAACATTGATTGACTGAAAGGAAACTAGTCAAGACAATCAATACGCTGTTGTCTGGATTCTATCTTTCCAAGAGTTTTCCATCATCCTGTGATAAAGTAATAACAGTTTGTAGACATATAGAAGTAACCTGTTTTAATGTTTATAATTTGAAAAAATACCTCATTATTATTTCCACCAATTATTACCAAAATAGATATGAATGGGTAAAATCTTCTAATGGGGAATACCCAAAACATGCAATTATTGCTGGATTCGGTTCTGATGGAAAACCACTCTATATTGCGAAAGGATACGTTGAAGATAATATATGCGTTGGGAAGGTGAGGAAAGGGATCACATTTAATTTCATTATAATAATTATAACAATGAAACTAAAGTCTATACCTTTAAAAAGCTATTTCATTCCGTCTTGAGTAAGCAAATTATGAGTCTTTCTCTTTCAGTATGGTTGCTTTAAAGGTAATGTTATTTTTGGCTATAAGTTTCAAGATGTTCATCGTTTGCTAGTAACATTCGAATTTTTTGTTCTTTGAATTAGTGATTTGGTTTGTTTAGAAACGATTGATCACTGAGTGATGACTAGTGTCATGTTTGACAAATTTTTTTATGCTGGTCGAATTCTATCAAGCTGTAATGTGATCACTAATCTAAGTAAATCGACATTGTGTGAACTACGTCCTAATGTTAGGCGGTTAAAGAAAGTCAGCAGGGATCCCTGGACATGGTTTTTGATAAAATCCGACTAACAATTTGTCGTAAGCAAAAATGACATCAGTCATTACTTAACGATCAGTCAGTTGTAAATATCTCAGCCTCATAATAGGTTAGCCGAATTTCGAATGGCTTAGTGGTAACACCTCGGACAATCAAGTTGGATGACGTTGATTTGAATCCACTATTTACCGTAACTTTACAGGTACGCCTGAATAAAGGACTGTAACTAGCAACAGGTCTTAGACGAGAAGGGTTTCATGTTGACAACCCCTAACTACTTGACATATCAGTTGATTAAGGTGGTGGTTAAAGCCAGACGACAAAATGTTTTACAACATGGTTGATATTTTTCAGGAAAATATATCTTGAAGGACATAATTATTTACAACTCCTAATCAAGAGTGCAAATTATTTAGTGAAGGGAAATATTATACACACGTATTCATTACAGATCGGTCTCAGTTGGAAGACCGAATCAAGAAGGATTGGGACTCAATGGGAGTGCCTACTCATGATGGGATTCAGGATCCTCAGGTCTTATGACAAACGCTTAATCATTAGGACCACTGGGTTGAATAACTTACATTCCTAACTTAGTTCAATTCGTTATATTGCGCAACCCTGTCATTGATGGATAAGTGCGTCAATTATCACATGTCTGTACTCCACTGTCCACAGTGGCTAGGGTCCTACCCATAGGGGGGATGAGTACTTCATCAAGTGCTCCTTGGATTTCATTGGTGCCAAAATGGAGATCTATCCGAGAAGGTGATAACTTACAAATTAAACTAATCTCCAAAAATACTCTTTAAAGAAAATAACATGTTATGATTGTCTAATCTTTAGTACTGAACGTCTATAGATTTAGTTTGAAATGTGAACACTGAATTTCTCATTATAATTAGTGTACGATAATGAAAATCAAGATTGTTTGAGTTGAGATTTTAGACTTGATTCAGTCAACAGTTATTGTACTTTGTTTTGATTGTACCTGAGTTATTACATATTCGGTGATCAAGTGTATTTTAGAGAGTATATTTAAATTAGTTTCCAAAGCAATGTCTATTATCAACTTTTTTAAATCGTCTTTTAGTTACATGAAGGTCATAAAAGTGCCTATATGCCATGGGGTGGACGGGAGAATGCGATTCCAGAATATGAAGTACTTGTATGGAAAAAGAAATAAAAATTAAGTGATGTTGCATCCTCATTAAATAAAATAACAGTTCTTTTTAATTTTTGAATTGAAAAGTGTTTTTTTCTCGCTTCCGTTGTGAGCTATGGGCTGATGTGTTGTACGGGTTTTTGGTACTTTTTAATGTTCACATATAGAAATGCTTATTCAAGATCAGTTTATCTGTCTGAACAGATTTAAATCGTCACTGTCATGCGACAATTATCATGATCGTAGTATATGACAATTTGTAATTTACTGATCAGTTATGATAGTAACGAAAATCTTTTCTACTAAGTAGTTAAAGATAAACGATAGATATTCCCGAACTTTGGTTTCGTGCTAACTGACACTCATCAGTACGATATATCTATCTATCTATAGTTTTGATGGAAACTGGTACTTTCCGTTAGTTCCCAATATTATTTAACATCACAGTCTTGTGGAAATTTATTTCATAATGACCGAAGACAAATCAATGCTTGTTTACTCACGTATTTTATGACTTTATAAGACTATTTTACCTAGTATTTGTTCAAACAAAAATAGATCAGAAGGGGTGTTGTGGAGATTTCAGTATTTTCTTAGTTGAAATCCTGAGTCAATTGAAGCTAGACCACCATGGAAAATCTGGAATCACTGGGCGGCCGTTTCCTCCTATCGTGGGACTTCTCAGCAGTGCGCATCCACGATCCCGCCTCACGAGACTCGATCCCAGGACCTACCAGTCTCGTGCGCGAGCACTTAACCACTAGACCACTGAGCCGCCATCCAACGGTGTTAATGTCTAACTTCAACTGCTGAGGAGTCCCATAATATGACGAAACGGCCTTCAGTGCTTCCAGGTTTTCCGTGGTGGTCTGGCTTCAATTGACTCATGATTTGAACTATTAAAATAAACAAAAATAATCCATTATTTCATGTCCAAAATATAGAATGTCATTGATAATGAACACATTCATAATAATATTTATTTCATTCATTCAATAATGTGAATTAACTTAAATGAAGAATAGCACTTACTTGGTATATGCCGATGGTTAGAAAACTTAATACGTATGTTTTCAATGGTATACTAGAAGACGTGAGTTTATATGTGTGAGGAAAGTCATCCTAATTTCAATGTTCAATATGTGTGCACTATCAATTATTTCCTGACATTATTTCTATGTCAAATATAAGAGCATGATTTTCACTGGTGATTTCATCATTTTGATTATCTAAGGCTATTTAAATGTCATCTATGAACATGACACTGTAGTGGATCTCAACTTACTAGATGGGGAAAGCAAATAAAATGAAAGATAGAGCTTGAAATGAAATCTCTAGTGAAAAATTATGCTGTTAAATAGAGCAACCCCAAACTATATGAATGGTAAAGTATTAGATATGACACATGTATTGAACATATAAATCCAGATACATCGCAAAGCTACGGACACATATCCTATCCTGATCGTAAGGAGGCTTACTTAAAAAATTGTACAAAAGCTCTACGTAAACTCAGTAGAAAAACACAATAATGAGTGTTGTGTCCGAATGACGAATAAATGAATAGTAACTGCTAGGAATTATTTATGGACTATTATTACATATATTCCTATTGAATAACTATTAAGTAACTAGATTATACATGGTTATATTTTTCCTATCATAAGCTTTCATTTGACCTATCGGCTATTATTATACGATTTATTATTCTTAAGTTATTTGCAATCTATTAGTTACAGTGTTTCGCACTTGCAGCCACTTTTTGGCTTGATCTCATATATTCTATTTTATAGTATGGTGCGATTTGATTTGCTTGTATACAAACTGTGTATATCTGAAATACATTATTCGTACAGTGGAATCTGAGATTGTGTTCTTGACTTAAAAAAAACAAGAATGGTTGGGAAGAACCAATAGGGACTCAGAGTTAATTCTAGACTGCCCGTGTTGGTTAACGCCTCATTGGTTTGGCACAGGGTCAAGGTCGTATAACTCGATGTCATGATTAGCAATCTTGTCACATAGTAATTAACAGGGCAAAAATCATCACAATAAATATCATTAAACTTAAGTAACAATGAATTCATTGAGTCAGTAAGAAAAACTATGCATAAAGTCAATGTGAGTTAAAAGATCAATTTACTTTCAAAGGAAACTAATAAATTGTATTAAAGTGAATGAAAAACTTATTCTATTTTTCATAGTTGAAAGCGTGAGTCAATTGAAGCTAAACCACCATGGAAAACCTGGAATCACTAGACGGCCGTTCCGTCCTATTGTGGGAGTCCTCAGCAGTGCGCATCCACGACCTCACCTCACGAGATTCGAACCCAGGAACTACCAGTCTCTTGCCAGAGCACTTAACCTCTAGACCACTGAGCCGGTATCCGATGGTGTTTATGTCTAACTTCAACCAGGTCCTGGGTTGGAATCTCGTGAGGTGAGGTCGTGGATGCTCACTGCTGAGGAGTCCCACAATAGGACGAATCGGCCGTCCAGCACTTCCAGGCTTTCCCTGGGGGTCTAGCTTCAATTGACTAAGGCTTTCAACTATGAAAATATTAAATCTCCACAAAAAACCCCTTCCTATATTTTTGTAATTATTTTTTGATTCGTTAATTCAATGTAAACATGAAAATACATGTATCAACCTGAAAATAAAAAAAATAAGGTTCAGTAGTTCATTGAGATTGTTCAATTATGAAATTAGTTCTTTGAATGAACTAACCATTGAATCATTGAATGAATATAACACTACATCATTGTACTTTCATTAGTGTGTGTGTGTGACCACGTCCTACATAAAGCCTTGAAACTTATTCTCAGTAAATATTTGAAGTAAAAATATTTGATTGATACAATATTCAAAAAACATTGTAAACTCATTAATTATATATATATATAGCATAATGGCATTCAGCATTTAAGTAGTCACATAAAAACATGTAAAAACAAGTCATCATTAAGTGTTTACATTTTTGTCATTGTGAATATTGAATTCTTGAATCTTTGTCCATATATCTGAATTGCAAGTGAAAACTTTTATACTGACTTTTCTCATATTTATATGTATTAAATGTTGATTAAGAAAATTTAAGCATCTTGTTTGATCAATATTCAATTTTGTTAATTAGTTTAATTTCATTAATATTATAATGAATATTAATCAGTTTATAAGTAAAGATGGATAGTGACTGGCATTGGGATAAGTAACAATATTCTCCTTTACTTACTGAATTGAATCTCCATTGTTGTTGAGGCCCCCAAATGCCCTGATACGTCCGAGAGTGGACAGAGTCCGCACTCCTCGAAATGCTCTCATATGGCCACGCGTATATAGCCTCTGACAGGTAAGTCCTACTCATTCGCTTCTCTTCGCCAGGATGTTGCTTACGAAATTTAGAGGACGATAAACGAATGTTCGGCGATTTAACCAGGTTGGTGAACACGGAAGGTCTACCTAAGGTAGTTGGAAAACCCTAGTTCCAAACCAATAGTGCACATGGGCTACAGTATCCTTAGGGAACAAATAGCGTATGAACCAATCTTTAGTCACCAGCTACCATAGGACTGCATCTCCTCACGATGGTTCACTGCTTTGTGGATCAGATCTTCAGGTCAAAGGCTGGGGGTGTGGCCCTCTAAGAAATCCACCTGTTTCAGTTTGGGCATCTGGGAAGTATCACAGCCCTTACAAAAATCAAATGGGCTTTGTGCGGCGCACATATATCTGGCACCTCTTTGTACCAATATTTATGTATTTAAATAAATAAATAATAAATATGTTGTTGAGTTTTTCTCTGATAAATAACAGTTTATCAAGCCGTATAACTACAAACATATGTAATATCTATTTGATGGCGGTTGACACTGGAATCCGCGATGTGGGTTTCGTCCTATTTGGGGCTCGTCAGCTGGGTGTATCTGCATCCCCCTAGTTGATGTTCATTCTGAGATGCGAACCCAGTACCATTTGCCTCAAACGCCATCGCATTATCCACTTAGCTATGAGTCCTGATAGCCACTTGCTTGTGCAATGGAATGAAGTTTTAATTCACTTGATATTATTTGCCTGAATCTTTCCATTGACGTTTAGCACTGTAATTGATCAGTCTCTTATTGGCATATGTGCATACTGTGAGTATTATTAGTTCCCTAATCTTAATATATTTTAGAAATTTAGTTACATAATATCAATAATCTAAGTGTAAATGTATTCACTCTAAAGGTTTCTTTCGAAATCTTTGTCATATCTATATATAGTTTTATAGAAAATTCATCATTATCTATAAAATCTTTAAAAGTTAACAAAGTAACGGGATAAGATAATGATACAGTGAGGTCATACATAGCAATTGTTATCGATTTTAGCATTTCTGTTACACTTTCTCATTAGGATTATTCAGTATGCAATGGATGAGAACATGAGTGGGGACAACAAAATGCATCTAGGCACTGATTACAGAATATCTCACTAAAATAGAGAACCATACAGTAAACAGTTAGTTTGCAAACTATCAATCAATTGTCTCAATCTTGACCATTCTTTCTTCAAATATCAGTCCGTAGTCTCCGATTATTATTGTTCATGCGTTTTCATACCAATTGCTTTCCGTTCCTGTTATTTTCATATCGATCTTTAACTGAAATACATCATTATATACTATTTGCGTGGATAAAAGTAACCAACACCACAAGTTAACCATTCATTAAGTGATTAGTTTCACAGTTTACTTTGAATAAAATGAATTTAAAAAAACTTATTGATTCATATGTTATGTACAACCTACATAAAAAGATGTAAAGATTTGCATGTTTCATGTAAACTACTTGAAAACACTTTCGTCAATTCGTAAGGTTTATCTATGATGAATAGATAGATATTTCAAATTTCCTAAATGACTGACAAGTATTGCTTTATCAGGCACACACCGTCCATTTCATCCACATATTTCTTCTTGTATATCTTATTGTAGAGTGAGATGAAGATGCATTAGAATATATAAATACAAACAAAATTATATAATCGTTATAATACTATATATACTATATACACTATGAGATGAGCAGGTTGTAAGAAGTGACCTAATCAAAATCTCGTTTCATGTTATTCATGTTATTATAAACTAATATTGGAAAATTTTTATATATAGTTGAAATCATGAGTCAATTGAAGCTAGACCATGATGGAAAACCTGGAAGCCCGGGACGGCCGTTTCATACTATTGTGGGACTTCTCAATAGTGCGCATCCACGATCCCGCCTCACGAGATTCGAACCCAGGACCTACCAGTCTCTTGCCAGTGCACTTAACCTCTAGACCACTGAGCCGGCCGGCATCCAACGGTGATAATGTCTAACTTAAACCAATCCACCAAGTTGAGAAACCATTTCACCAACTGTCCTCAGTGAGTTGATATCTCCCAATAGACTTGGTTGAACGCAACTGGATAAAGTCATTATAATTATTTATGTGAAAATGAATCATCATTTGAATGAATAAACGAAACGGAAAACTGATACCATAATCTATATATGTATGAGTGAGTGCATATTGAGGTGAGTAAACAATCCATATCAGAGAATATTTGATTTCCACATTTAATTTGAAATTATTTACAAAGTTTCATGTTTTATTTATTCATTGAATAATAACAATCAAATATTTATAGACAAATATCAGAAAAACTCTTATCAACGGCTTTTTTTTTCTTCTGAGAACTTATACATAGCCTTATGTATAAATACCACAGTAATTATAAAAGTGGAATCACTGTATTAACGAAAGTATATAGTAAGTAACTTATTTTAAATCTAAAACTATTAGTCCCTTTAAATTCAGTTAGTATTGTTTTTTGAATGTTTCCATTGATGTTTTGGACTGCAATTGGTCAGTCTCTAATTGGCATATGTGCTCACTGTGCATATTCCCTCGATATAGCCTTAATTCACAGGCATTGTAAGCAAAAATAGATAGTGGCTAGCAGTGGGATCCAGGACGCGCGTTTTGTCCTATTTGGGACTCGTCAGCTGGATGTACCTGCATCTCGGAGTTGATGTTTTTTTTCTGGAACTCGAACCAAGTACTTTTCTCTTCAAACGACATCGCGTTATCCACTCAGCTATTGAGTCCTACTTAGTCTCTTTGATAAATTTTCGACTATGCAATGAGAAGACGAAGTTTATCAGAATTATGTGATATATTTGCGCAATACATTTCGAACAATCTGATCACACATAATATACTTGTTAAGGACATTTTTATATGAAAATTAAAAGTTCAACTAGACAGGTTAAAGTAAGTCGTAACAAGGAAATAAAATAAATAAAGTACACAAAAACAATGTGATAACCACTCTGGATAATAAATCAGTATTATCAGGGTAAGTTAAGGGTAAGAACAAATTGTTTTTGAACACATAAAGGGGGTTTCAATTTCCGTATAGCCAAGGCTTCAATAAACCTTAGCATACGTCCTTGAGGGCTTTTGTATAACACTACAAATGCCGACTTGATGTCGACTTTATAACCAGTTTCAACAAAATGTTTCGCAATGGAAGAAGATATCTGTCTATCCTATGATCTTATTTCACCATCGGAATTGATAATGTTGGGATAAGTAAAGGATGTTAGTTATCTCAAATAACATTTATTTATCTGAATAATACTACGGATATCCTATGATATGATGTTTCCTCTGTATACAGATAATTAAATAAAAATCTTAGTTTTTCTTGGAATATTTATTTTAATTTCAAGTGATACATGTATTTATATATAGTTGAGATCATGAGTCAATTAAAGCTAGACCATCATGGAAAACTTGGAAGCACTAGACAACCGTTTCGTCCTATTATGGGACTCCACAGCAGTCCGCATCCACGATCCCGCCTCTCGAAATTCGAACCCAGGACATATCAGTTTCGCTCGCAAGCACTTAATATCTAGACCACTGAGCCGGTCGGCATCCATCGGTGTTAATGTCTAACTTAAACCAATCCACGCAGTTGAGCAACCATTTCACCAACTATCCTCAGTGATTTGACATCTCCCAACAGACCTGGTTGAACTCCACTGATTACTGCTTCTCACTAGAACTCCGGGAAATACCTCATGGAGCCAGTTGCTAGTTAGCATGTATTCACAATTGATTGATTGTCAAAATTGGCTTTATAGATGTTTCAATGGAAAGACAGAAAAAAATCATTGTAGACATAATATAGGGATAAGAATTAAGATCTATGAAATTTATGAATAAACATTACGATTTGAAAAATCAATATTAAAGGGTTACAGTTCAACCTGATAGTTAGATATTAATTCTATCTGACCTATAGTTTCCATATCCCCGTAATTATTTAGCTCTTAAATGACTTTTAATCATACCTATTGTTGAATTGAATATTTTGTTTATTTGGGTGTTATTTTGTTAGAAGAACTCATTCTTCTAGCTTTTAGTCTTTTCTATTATGCTAATCTAAGAAAACTTGGTTATATGGGTAATAATTTGTGACCAGTATTTTTTATTGAAACAATTGACTAGTTCAGTTATTGGAAATCACAATATTTATGGAATAATTGATTAAGTTTGGATTATATTACTCCATTATCCACATTGTAAATAGACACTATTGGTAATGGATAACAATTGTTTGCATAAAAAATAAATTTTATCACTTGACTCTTTTCAGTTCCCATTATCCTAACTAGCTTTTTTTAGTGACGTTATGTTACGATCGGAGATATGTGTCCATGGATTCAGGTTGAGAATAATCGTTTTCTTTCACCGTTCGATAAAAGTGATACATCTAGTATTTTCGAACATTCTTCCGTTCATTTCGTGTCAGTAACAGGATATGAGGATTTTATTTCAGTCATCTAAAGCTGTCTACAAATGTCTTCTGTGGAGATACTGTTGTCGTGAATCCCAAATTACAGAATTTAAAAAGTGAATAAAACAAAAGTTAGTAATTGCAACGAAGTCTCCAGTGAAAATTGTTGTCTTGCATGCAGCACTCATTCACTCAATGAATGAAAAAAGTATACCCGAAAATGCTTGATGCTAAACATTTATCGAACACTGAGAAAGTGGCGTTCTACAAATTCATAAAAGTGTATCGTAACCCAAAATACATGTAAACAATTGAAAATTTTAGGTTCATTTTGAAAGAAGGGACTTCAATAAATTTCACTATAAAAATTACATCTTAAGTCAGTATTCAAGAAGACAATTTTTATAACACCGTTCATGATATATATCATCATTATGGATACAAAATGCCTACGGTTATCAGGCAAATACTTCAAGCATTATTCAAATAAAGCAGAAACACGGTAGTCGTAGAAGTGTGAGAAGTATGTGTCAAAATATTGATCTATGGACCAGTGTTCCTTTGTAGTAGCTGGTACTATGCCAAGCCCCCACAGGTTATTATAGCTTCTGAACAGACCAATTTATTCATTTTATTCAAGCTAAATTTTAACACTATTACTTATTCACTTATTAACCTTGACTGTTTTTATATGATCGTATGTGTTAATTACTTACCCTACTTATTACGTGTCTGTAATTTATTTCTGTCTGAATATAAATATTGAGACACGCTTGACCAAAACATGTTGGCTCACTCGCCTTCTCAGCATCGCTTCGTTTTCCAGTTTCTAATGTCATTCGCCCATTAGTTTTGTTTCGCCTTGCTTTCTCCACTTTGTTTCTTTGATTGTCTTTACGGATCAATGAGCATATGAAATATACGAATTCAAAATTCATTCTCTTGTTTAGCTTATTTTATTCTGTTATTCTCTAACGCAAATTAAGTCGATAAAATATACGAGAGTAGCCGAGATACATATTTCGACAACAATCAGCATACGATCTAACTGGAGTCAAAAATTGGGCCACTAAACCATCATTGTGTTTTGTGATTTTAATGTAATGGCTGATTTCAAAGTTTAACTAGAAAGATTGTGAGATCTTTGAATCCGCATTATCTCTTAACTTATTCTACTTATTGCTTTTTGATAAAATTATCGATAAATCTTCACGTATTTTATTTTAGTAAAAAATATAAATATATATTTATCATGGCTAAAGTTGGTCGAGGTTTGCAAATACCACTTTCATGGATTCCAGGACGTGATGGATTTTGTCCAGCTGGTGCAGTTTCTGTTGATAACATATGTGTTGCACGAAGTAAATACAGTGGGGAATTGCTGCCCGGAAAATTAGTACCAATGAATGGAAAATGTTATTGTCCTTATGGTGGAGCAGAACTAGAGTTTTACGATTATGAAGTGTTATGTGAAACTTTTATTCCTGGTTCTTGTAAAGGGTAAATTAATAATTGTTTTCGGATATTACTTACTTACTTACGCCTGTTACTCCCAATGGAGCATAGGCCACATTTTCGGATGATTCAGTTGTCATTGTAAACGTTCACAGATTGAATATTCAGTTTAAGTAACTCTTAACAGTTGAACGTTTTGATGACACAGTGAATTCGACTTGTTCAAATCGATTAAGCATTCTACAGGTTTATAAACAATATAAAGTTTAGGAAATTAACAAATGGTTTCATCAGTTGCAATCCACTGAACTCTTATTAACAAATGAAAGGAGTTCTTTCGTTTTATTTGATAGAGTATATGTATATAATGTACATATTGCTGAGTGAAAAGTTATACATGATGCATAAAACCCTGCTGATAGAATGGATGATCTAATGGTGCATTGTACTGACAAATTGATTCACAAAATACATTATGAAAATGGATGTAAAAGTTGATAAGTAAGACTATCATCATGAATTATAAATCTAACATTCTATTATGAAAATGCATTTGTCAGGCCATATGTAAATCAAATCAAGTTGTTGAGTACTAAATTTGGAAATTCTCTTGTAACATACATAACACAATCACAAACTTAAAACATTCGATAAAATAGATGAATTTATTTGTGAATATATAATTTGTAAGAAGTACCCAATTTTCGAAGCATGAAATTCACAAGCAGATAGAATATTCAGTAATCATACAGATATGAATGTTACGACAGTTACTAGTCTTTTCCAGTTCCATTGGATATTAAAAAAGGAACATTGTATCATAGAAAAGATGTCATTTTTTTCTTGATGATCTGGCAAAACTGTTAAATTAATAATTTATTTCATATTACTGTAGCAATGTAAATTTTTCTTACAGATATTGTTGGGAAAGAGCGTTTGACGGTAATGTTCCAAAAAATGCAATTGTTGCTGGGATAGCCAAAGATGGTGAACCATTGTACATTGTAAAAGGTGTTGTGAATAATGAAACATGTTTCGGAAAGGTAAACAACTACATGTATATTTGAGTGAGATCACAAATCGATGCAAGTTGGACTACCATTGAAATCTTGGAACCACTGGATGGCCGTTTTGTCTTATCATGGAACTCCTCAGCAATGTATATCTACAACCCCACAGCAAAGAAGATGGTTACTCAACATCGTGCATTGATTAAAGTTAGACGAACAATCTATCGAATTTCAGCCCAATGGTCCAGAAGTTAAGCATTCTCTAGCGAAACTGAAGGTTATGGTTTTGATTCTCGGTTTTGGGGTGGTGGGTGATCACTACTTAAGTGTCCCATACTAGGACGAAACAGCCGCACAGTATTTCCAGGTTTTCAGTTGTTGTCGAACTTGGATCGCTTCGTAATTTTGGTGAGATTCAATAATCTCCATAACTCCACACTTGTAACTGTATGTCTTTTTAAAATAATTTTCAGATATAAAAACTGCCCGTCTAGAATTTGCTGGTTTCTGCTAACCGTTTTTGTCTACTGATGTGCTTTAAACTGAAACAAATACTAAATATTTATACTTATCTTGAATTTAAAATCATAGTAAAAGCCTACTTCTACTCTTCAATGGTTATTAGAAAAGAGTATTGCAATATGGTTACTAGTCTAGGTGACCCGACATTACGTACACTAAATATTTGGTTACTAATCGGTGATCAATAAGTATGAATGCTTTTTGGATGAGTGACAGGACGAAACAAACTTCGAAAAGTGTTTCCTATCAATAACCTCCTACCACTGAACATAGTGTTTGTCCTGGTGAAGTTCCGTTCTCTGATTTGTATGGTTTAATCGTGGAAGCTTCGTGGTTCGTCTGAACAACAATTAGAGCTTTACGACTAAACCATCCAGTTCAGAGAACGAAACTCCATCCAAATTATCCACCTGAGATATAAATTTTCTAAATCATTGTGATTATTCATTATTTTAACTACAGGGCTGATTGACCGATCAATTGATTGGTTATCTGACTGAATACAAATGATTTCTTAACGTTATGCATCCATTCTTGACTTTTCTATCTTTATGTATATATTTCAGCTACACGAAGGTCATTCGTGCGCTTACTTACCATGGGGTGGTAAGGAATATTCAGTCAATGAATATGATGTACTTGTGTGGCAGAAACATTGAGATTTAAATTTTTAAATACTGTTTTGTACCAGAGTCACCATGAGCTTCACACATCATGTGTTTTTTCTTCCTTTCTCATGTCATTTTGTTATTTGAAATCTTTGAAGATGTGTGAAAATAATACATCTTTATACAGTATTAATCTTAACTGAGTCTACTGATAAATCGTGATATCCAGGGAAATGAATGGGAAATTTTTAGTTAACGAACACATATACAATGGTAGGATTAAACTATACTGCCGACCTTTGAACGAATCTTAAATGACCTTAAGAAATATTAGCCAATCAGAAGAAAGTTAGCATACAGTAAAAATATATTATACAAAATCAAAGAATTAAAGTGGAAACACTTCATTTACACGGGTCAAAAACTTCTCAAGGTCAGATATAGGTTCAGAAGTTCTAAAATCATAGTGCATACGGTACAGGAACACATCCATATGGCTCCATAGTAGTCGACCTCTGAAACCATGATAAGGTCTCAAAAATTCTTTTAGCCTCGACCACATAGCTTCAATAATGTTAGTATATTGGTATGGTTTACGGGTTAGAGTTAGAGTTAAGGTTTAGGTGTAGGGTTTAGGGTTATGGGTGAGACTATAAGTTATGGACAACCTTTGAGCGACGCTAGAGTGACTCTGAGAGTATCAACATAATAACTAAGACCAAATGAGTGTTATAAACCAGTGTGAAGAATTCAAATTATGATTTACAGTTCATGATTAAGGCTAGGAATTATACTTAGGGTTTTCATCACGAACTGACATCAGCTATAATGCCAAAACTCTATTTATCCAAATAGATAATTGAATTTCGCTCCAAAATCTTATGATCACTTCTCTTGTAGATGCTGAATTATCATGTTTTCCCTAAAATCCGCTGTAAACCGACCGTACGTAAGCATCAGGTACCGAACTTATCGCCGTGACCTTGAAAACCCACGAAAGCTTCTGATTGGCTCGGCAGCATAGTTTAATCCTACCGAATGACTTTATATTAAGGTAATCATATTCACGAATTACCACTCTCGGATATGTTGTAAAGTTGTTAGTTTTGTTACCAAGGTGGAATGTATTGAAAAGAACTGAATGATTATTTCAAAAGGCATTGAATAGCGTGTGTTTTATAATGTTTGAAATGCAATGTAAGTAAGAAGTTTAAATGCTTGAAAATTTTGAAACCAATTTCGAACATTCATTTCCGTAGATTAATGTTTATGCTACTTTCTTTGTAAACTAAACTTGTATTAACTTTTCTGTAATCGCATCGAGGAAGTTTGCCAATAAAACATCGATTGTTTCTAACAGCTGGATGCAGAGCACAAGCAAGTGGCTATCAGAACTCAGTGGCCGAGTGGATAACACGATGGCGTTTGAAGCGAGGTTACTGGGTTTGAGTCCCAGAGTGAACATCAACTCTGAGATGCAGGTACATCCAGCTGACGAGTCCCAAATAGGACGAAACGCGCGTCCTGGATTCCACTGCTAGCCACTATCCATCTCTGCTTACCATGCTTGTGAATTAAGGTATATCGAGGCAATACGCACAGTATGCACATATGCCAATTAGAGACTGACCAGTTGCAGTCCTAAACACATCGATGAGAAGATCCAAACAAACAATACTAAGTGAATTGTCTTGTTGTTGTTTTAGATTTCACGGAGTCGGTGAACATTGTAGTTATTGTTAATTCTATCGCAGCGTTCAACTAAATGTAACTCCGCCTGTAGCTCTTCTAGAGTTACTGCCGGTCCCAAGCCCGGGTAAAGGAGGAGGGTTGGGCATGGGGTTAGCGACCCCATCCCGTAGAAAAGCTAACTCGCTAAAAAAACGCTAACCAGAAAAAATAATTCAAACCATTTAAACTCTGCTCTGGGAGTTGAAGGAATAATGACGTCTCATGATGAAAGCCGAAATTCTTCGGAAGTCACGAGACCGATGCACCTTCTAACAACCAGATCAACACTCTTTATAGGTACATGGAACGTCCGGACAATGTAGGAGACAGGAAAGACCAGCCAAATAGCAATGGAAATGAGGAGATACAACTTGGCAGTACTCGGAATCAGCGAAACCCATTGGACACAAACTGGACAACAAAGGCTAGGTACAGGAGAGATGCTGCTGTACTCCGGTCACGAAGGGGAAAACGCTCCACACACTCAGGGAGTTGCTCTAATGCTGTCCAAAGAACCAAGAAATGCACTTGCGGGATGGGAATCTCATGGACCCAGGATAATCAAAGCATCATTCAGAACAAAGAAGCAAGGGATCACAATGAACGTTATCCAATGTTATGCACCCACCAATGATAGCAACGACGATGATAAAGATCAGTTCTATGAAAGGCTGCAATCAATTGTAGCAAAGTGCTCAAGTAAGGACCTCACCATCCTGATGGGAGATCTAAATGCTAAAGTTGGAGTGGACAACACAGGATATGAAGATGTAATTGGACGACACGGACTAGGAGAAAGAAATGAAAATGGGGAGAGACTTGCAAACCTATGTGCTTTCAACAAATTGGTTATAGGCGGCACAATATTCCCACACAAGCGCATACACAAAGCTACATGGATCTCACCGGACCATACCACAGAGAACCAGATAGATCACATCTGTATCAACAAAAAATTCCAAAGATCAATGGAAGATGTAAGAACCCAGAGAGGAGCTGACATAGCTTCAGATCACCACCTGGTTGTGGCCAAGATGAGACTGAAGCTAAAGAAAGACTGGACAACTGGACAAACAGCACTACAAAGGTTTAATACAGCCTTCCTTCGAGATGCTGACAAGCTCCAAGAATTCAAGATAACTCTCAACAATAGGTTCCAAGCTCTACAGGATCTACTGAAAGAACAAGAAACTACTTTGGAGGACAACTGGAAAGGGATAAAAGAAGCACTAACTTCAACGTGTCAGGAGGTTCTTGGTCCTAAGAAGCATCATCACAAGGAATGGATCTCTCTGGGAACCCTAGACAAAATTCAAGAAAGGAAGAACAAGAAACTAGCAATTAACAACAGCCGAACACGAGCAGAGAAAGTCAAAGCACAAGCAGACTACGTAGAAGCAAACAGAGAAGTGAAGAAAAGCATTAAAGCCGACAAGCAGAAATACATGGGAGAACTAGCAACGGCGGCGGAAAAAGCTGCAAGAGAAGGGAATATGAAACAACTATATGATACAACGAAAAAATTGGCAGGGAGATATAACAAACCAGAGAGACCAGTCAAGGACAAAGAAGGAAAGACAATCACTGAGATTCAAGAACAGAAGAAAAGATGGGCAGAATACTTTGAGGAACTGTTGAATAGACCAGCCCCATTGAATCCACCGAACATCGAAGCAGCCCACACAGACCTTCCAATAGATGTCACTCCACCAACGATCGAAGAAGTCAAGATGGCCATCAGACAAATCAAAAGTGGGAAGGCGGCGGGACCTGACAATATACCAGCAGAAGCACTGAAGTCAGACATTGAAATAACTGCAAACATGCTTCACCTTCTATTCAAGAAGATTTGGGAAGAGGAACAAGTGCCAACGGACTGGAAAGAAGGATATCTCATCAAGATACCAAAGAAAGGAGATCTGAGCAAATGCGAGAACTACAGAGGTATCAGTTTGTTATCAGTACCAAGAAAAGTTTTCAACAGAGTGCTGCTGAATCGGATGAAAGACGCAGTAGACGCCGAACTAAGGGATCATCAGGCTGGATTCCGTAAGGATCGGTCGTGCACAGACCAGATTGCAACACTACGGATCATCGTTGAACAATCAGTTGAGTGGAACTCATCACTATACGTCAACTTTATTGACTACGAGAAGGCGTTTGACAGCGTGGACAGGAGAACATTATGGAAACTTCTTCGACACTATGGAGTTCCTCAGAAGATCGTCAACATTATCCAAAACTCATACGATGGATTACAGTGCAAAGTGGTGCATAGAGGACAGCTGACAGGTGCATTTCCAGTAAGGACCGGAGTCAGACAAGGCTGTCTACTCTTCCCATTCCTCTTCCTTCTAGTGATTGACTGGATTATGAAGAATTCGACATCTGAAGGGAAATACGGAATACAATGGACAGCTCAGAATCAATTAGATGATTTGGACTTCGCAGATGACCTAGCCCTCCTCTCTCATACACACGACCAAATGCAGATGAAGACAGCAAATGTAGCAGCAGCCTCCGCATCGATAGGTCTCCACATTCACAAAGGAAAAAGCAAGATTCTCAAATGCAACACGGAGAACACCAACCCAATCACACTTGACGGCGAAACTCTGGAAGAGGTGGAAACATTCAAGTACCTGGGGAGCATCGTTGATAAACAAGGGGGGGATCGGATGCAGATGTAAAGGCAAGGATTGGCAAAGCAAGGGCAGCATTTCTACAATTGAAGAACATATGGAACTCAAAACAACTCTCAACTAATTTCAAGGTGATAATCTTTAATACGAACGTCAAGACAGTCCTACTGTATGGAGCTGAAACGTGGAGAACTACTACGACCATCATCAGGAAGGTACAAGTATTTATAAACAGTTGTCTACGCAAAATACTCAACATCCACTGGCCGGATACTATCAGCAACAGCGTTCTATGGGAGAGGACAAACCAGCTTCCAGCTGAAGAGGAAATTAGGAAAAGACGTTGGAAGTGGATCGGACATACATTAAGGAAATCACCAATGTGCATCACGACTCAATCCCTAACTTGGAATCCGGAGGGGAAGCGAAAAAGAGGAAGGCCAAAGAACACACTACGCCGGGAAATAGAAGCCGATATGAAAAGGCTGAATAGTAACTGGAAAGAACTGGAAAGGAAGGCTCAGGACAGAGTTGAATGGAGAATGCTGGTGAGCGGCCTATGCTCCTCGACGAGGGGTAACAGGCGTAAGTAAGTAAGTAAGTAAGTTCAACTAAATGTATGAAGTGTATGAAAAATCGGTGTGCGAAATAGCGGACATATATATATATATATGAATG